TCATCTGGTTGATGATAGTTGATCGTATTTGGGTTTCCTCGATTTGTGAAATCTGATACAGTGAGTAATGGGTTCCAGTCCCAGGGGGAACTTCGTCACACATTTAAGTGAAAGTATGTCCAGTTAAGGTGCCACGTATACAACGAAATGTGCATCATACATTTGGTTGCTAGCCATTATCAACTAAATAAAACACTACAGCTGTACCAAGAGTTCAAACATTGTTCATCGTCTACCATTCCGAACGACGTTATACTATGACAGCGATAATTAAGATCCATTATACTCACTATATATATATATATATATATATATATGCGTCGGTGGCACAGTGGTTAGGACTCTCGCCGACCATGCACATGGTCCGGGGTTCAAGCCCACGCCGGCGCACACCTGATATCTATGGTCGGCCTGCAAAATTTGGGCTACCGATATCCATGCTGAAAATTCCATACTTGTACCAAAAATACAGTGTGGAATCAAGCTGTAAATAAAAAATAAATATATATCATCGATATAATTGGGTTATAGCAAATGCAGCGATGTGACACCCTAGTTAACCACTCGACTTCAGACGTTAGGTCGTAGATACGACTCCAGCTTCACATACTTCCACTCGGGAAACTGTGGGTAATACGTGCGGGTCATAACCTAGTACACCTAAAATCTTTTCGGATTAACTGAGCTTTAATTATTAATATCTACCTTTCAGCTGAGACAAAAACAAACAAAACTTAGTTCCCACCGGGGCTCGAACCCAGTTATAGTAATTTCAGACGTCATTTGGGCCACGAGATCCAATAGCTCTTATTAATTATTTAATTCAATTAAGATTTTGCCGTCGACTGATTGGACCGAAGTGCTCTGTCTCAGGTTGATATGTCAGCTCCTTGTGTAGAAATCTTGGACGATGTTAGGTAATGTAACTTGAAGTCTATTGGAGAAGGGTGACTAGTAGTGCAAATCAATCCAGTTATCGAGTCCCAAACACGACGAAATGAGCATCTTGGATTCGACTGCTAGTCACCACTAACCAGCTGACTTCAAGTTACATGACCAGATATCGTTGAAGCATCTGCGCAAGAAGCATACGTGTCAACCTGAGACCGAGCACTTCTGTCTAATCAATCGATAGGAAAATCATATTACATAAATTTAGTTGACTTTCTCCTAGTGTTATATTATACATCTTGACTGAATCAGTCTTTAAATTATCATCAACAAATTGTAACTGGAAGCAGGATATATATGCGCTTCTATTTATATCATGATATGCCTAGGTTATGCAACAGAATGCGATGAAAGTTGACAGAATTTCAGTCACTGTTGTTTTTTTAAACCCATGGGAAATCACCACTATTCTTTTCTTTTTCTGTAAGCTGAAAGCCATACAAATCAATAATATCCATCACCAACTACCCTGCTCCTACTTTATATTACATACCTAAGTTTACTAGAATACCAGAAAAGAATATTTAAAAAAAAATCTAAGTGAAGGATTTATCAAAGATATGTACAGCATTTGGAAACATTCAAGAGACAAAACTATTAAAAATATTGACTGTTTTATTGTTGAAATATTCATATAGAGTACTAGTCAGTAATGCTTAATTATCCAATATTAGTTGATAGAATGTAATGTTGGAATACGAGATGTCTTATTTCAATGCATAACTCAACAAAATAACTTTATTATACTTTAGTGATGTGTGTCAGCTGTTCTAAGGAAGAACGCCCACAAACCATACACACGGTACAGGGTTCTTTTCCCGGCCAACAGACTCCTAAACTTCACTTAGCTTGCAGTGAACCCGGTGAAGAAGGAAGGTGGGGCGCATTAGACTAGTAAAGAGGAAGCAATACGATTACTGAAACTTCAAACATGAAGCTTGAAGTCATATGTTCCACTCGGGATAGCTACTTTAGAAACTCACTGAAAAGAAACAACAGTTTAAGAGGCTAAAAAACGTTAGTATCATGTAGAAGTTAGGTTTTTAAGGACTTGGTTGATCTTCGGGGAAGTTGGGTTTTGTCATGACGACTGAAGCTGATATCAAGAAAACCCTGAAAGATTTAACTGCTGAAAGAGACTTGATTTTACTTCATGCATCCTTTAATCTTAGGAGCGACCTGTCAGATATGACTTTCTTTAAATAATTTTCAATTGAGATACTCAGTTTGTGCTGACATTGTAACATGCTTAATCGATGTGATGAGGTTAACTTGATGATATTTAGTGGATGATGGTCAGCAGTATAATTCGTGATGTACACTTTGTCCTATTTGTCATTCATTAGATGGACGTAACTATACCCTCATCATTTTATTGGGAATACATATACATCCGGCTAACCAATCCTAAGAAAGGATGAAACTCGCGCTACAATGAATTTCACTGCTAACTTGACATAACCATTCAAAAGATAGTGGTTTAGAAAGACAACTACAAGCAAACCGAACAAGCTTCTCAAAGTGAACAGTATCAATATGAGATCAAAGACTGCCAACTTTGAATACTTGAAAAAAAAGAAACGTTTCGGATTTTTGTTTACTCCTTTTATCAGATATAATGGATGATAGGTTAGAAATAAAGAAAAATTTATTATTGTCTCAAAGAATCTGTTGATAAATAATAATACTTCTTCAACAATTTACAAGACAAAAGTTCTATTGAACTGATTACAAGTTTTAACATGCAACCAAAAATTAAAAAAAAAACACGACAACAGATAGACACCCTGGAGTTGTGAAAATCGACTAAACTCAATAATTTTTTTAAGTCTTTGAAGAGTAATCACATTTTAACTTTTATACGAATTATTAATGAAAGTTATAATAATGTCACATAAAAACAAGTAATAACTGATTCCCGTCGGACAAGAAAGAGGTGGTTGTCATAGTTATTTGGTACTGGATTCGAGTCTCACTGGAAACACTCTAATTCACTGAGGAATGTAGGTATATCCAACTACGATGAATCTGAAACAGGAAGAAATGTCCATCTCCAAGGATTTCACTGCTAGTTAGCATTCACTGAATATATATTGTAACTTAGTAACTTAGTACATTTTCGGGTGGAGACTAGAGTCGATGGAGCGAGAATCGAACCCTAGAAACTTCTACCAGAATATCAACCATATATATATATATATATCATTAGGTCAGTCATATCTTAGATGTTTCAGTTTCTGCCTACAAAAGCTTACTTTCCATACAAAAATTGCATTAAAACTCTAAAGATATCTTCAGATAAGTAATTATCATCACGAAACCTGGATGGTTAATTTCCTATCTGTCAAGTATTGCTTTTTGCAACAGGGATTCGATAACTATTCTGATACTCAATAGCTACTGACTCTATACAGGAAGCCACCTAGAGATCTAGTCAGTAGTCGTACCCAGTGCGATCTACCAAGTCAGATAAGAGGAGAGTCAATCGCCTATGACACTGGCACTTTATTGCACTAAATATTGCGAACCATTGGATCATGTCCCAGTAGTTGAATAAGCAACGATCTCACTATGTGACTAGAAAGTTCTGTGTTCGAACCTCGGTGGGTGCGTACTCCTGAATAGTCTCAGACTAGGGTGGAACAGCTGTCAAGTACCCCATACTGATGTCAGCTCGCGATCAACCCAATGATTACCTATCTGTCTAACATCATTCATAATGATGTATTTTGAGCAAATACGTTTCAAAATGTCTCGCTTATCTGAAAGATATAAGAAACGAAACACCACTCACAAATTTATAAGATTGATAGCATTCAAAAAAGATTAAAATAAACAAAATAAAACAAAAAAACAGAACATTTACAAAACATAATACGTTTAAATGGGCATTAAATTTGCCGTTAGTTTTTCAAAAGAAAAAGTTATTGACAGTAGTGAAACCGTAACACACACACACAAAAAAAACGATTGATTTCAAAAAAATTAAGAAAACAAAAGTACATAAACTTCTTTTTTAAGCATATATATATATAAAATAAAAACAAAAACTTGAGTAAACTTTAACTGTCCGTTTGCAAAGATTAGACTGGTTTCAAGTTACCTAACTATATGAGATGAGTTAGAGAATCATTGAAAACCAGGATTCAACAGCTCTGTCTTTCTCATTTGAGAATCTTCGGCAGTACGCATTCATTACCCACCCACCCCCAGCTCCCACAGGGGATCAAAAAATACGAATTTGTTGACCAATCAGCTACTGCCATGAAACCCAGAAGTTCCTACATTTTTCAACTACTTCAGATACATGATCCATAGAGTCACCGTCAGCTACTGCCATTGACAAGTATTTGTCTTCATCCTTCAATTAGTGGATGTCACTGGAAAATTTATCATATTAGTTAGGCAGTACTCATACTACAGTTACCTACTTATTCACTTAGCTACTAATTTTTCACTTATCAAATTTATTTTATTTTATATTTGTTTAAATTATCCAATTATGTCCTTGAAATGCAGTGTCCAACTTGAAATAGGTTACAACCTAGTGTGATGATTTTTTTTAGGGGAATGTAAGACAAACATTGCAAAGTATTCCAGTGTGATTTGCATAGGTTAACATTGCTTGCAATGATGTATTTTCGAACAATACTTTACTTGAAAGTTCTTCTCAAGACGTAAATACTCTATGAGTTGAAACGCTGAGAATTATGACTTGTGTATATACACTTTTCCCAAATAAATCTGGCATTGTTATATGTATCACGAATAGGTGAAAATTAGAGGTTGTGGGACATTGGATTCCCCCACAGTAGCTTTGAGGTCAACGATCTCGTCTCCTAACCTAAACGTAACGAGTCCCAAACTAGGACGAAACAGATGTTCAGTACTCCTTGCAGGTTTCCAGTGGTTCTCTAACCGGTATCAGCTTGTGATCAATCCCGTAGCCAACCAAATCTCTGCAAACTAACACTTCATAAAATAATCAATGTCAAGCAAATATAAATGTTATTAACAAAACAAAAAAAACGGAAAAGACAGATTCTTACATGCAAATTGGTGAGTAGCAAAACGTGGTTTGAAAGACGGTTCAACAGCTGCACTCGGAGTTCTAGAAGCTGACACTGGATCCAAGTAGGTTTGTGAACGTGATCTACGCTTACTTTCAGCTTCTTCACGAATGATAGCCTAAGAAGGGAGAAAGAAAAGGCAGAAAGTTAATGAGAGGTTTGTCAACAATATTCATTTTTCCTTAATGAAGGTCGGCAATGAATATCTGACGTACGAGTAAAAACTTAGTGAGAAATATCGGAGCCTAAGATTATTACATAGCACAAACATCAGATGGCATGGGAAGATAGTTAGATTAACATTAACAGAATACCTAGAATAAGTACATATCGGCATAGAAGTTTACCACAGTAAAGCGGGGAGCCGGCGAGAAGAAATAAAAGATATAATAGTATTCAATGATAAAATGATAGATCATCTGGGATTTCCTATCGTACTTTCATGAAGTATCTAATAACTGATTTCTTCCTCACATTTACGAACAAACGTATTGGCGAAAGTCTACTTTTAAGTTGGTTGGTTGTATTGTAGAGATTTTAATCAATAATTTACTGCTGCATTCCACTTCCATAATTAAATGTTAGTCTGTTCATTATGTGAACTGATTATATACTGCCTTTCCCCTTGGTAGATTGTGGATGAGCACTACTGAAGGACGTACTGCGTTTGTTGGTAGTTCAGAGGTTGAATACTCACCAGAGACGCATATAGTTGGCATTCCGTTCGCAGCCTATCCAATTGCACACCCAAAAAAGGGAGAAGGTTAGGCGTAAGACTACCGAACTCATCCCGTTTCAGCATTTCTGAACATTCAAAGGTGAAACATGGAGCCCAGTGTTCCAATTAGAACGCCTGGCTGCAAAGTGAATGTTTAAAGCAATGAGAATACTGAATATTCATTAAAAGTGAAACTGATTTTTCATCTTTATTGATTAAAACAATGACTGAAAACATTCGATGACGAAAATGAAATCATTGCTAGACTAGTCTGCAAAGAGTATACTTAAAACAAGAGATCCACAGAAGTGTTACACAAATGTTACGCCATATTAGAAATGAAATCGAGCAGTTCAAACATAAATTAATGGAGACGACAGTTACCAATATGGATTACGATCATTATATAATACAGTCCTCTAGCAATGCTAAATCAGTAGTCAAAATACTCGATACAAATTATTCAACAAATCACTGGAAGGGGGAAATCTCAATCGGAGAATAATAAGACCAGCAGCAGTAAAAGTGTATTATTAGAAAAAGGGGTTAAATTTCAGCATAGCAGTAAACAAACTAAAACTTGAGGATGCCATCCCTAAAAAGGAATCCTGTCAGTTTCCAGTAGACTACAATCTTCCTGATTGTAATTTACCAAGAAAGTGGAAAAGAAACAAGGGTTATATATACATGATAAGATGGTTAGTGTTGAAAAAAAATCCAGTCAAATGAATAAATTTATGCCTTCAGACGAAAACACATACAAATCAGATTAAGACACATGTAGTCAGTGGTGAACAATGAGAAGTTGCATCATAAAAAGAATACAAAGTATGCAGACAGAAAGGTATACGAACGGATGAACAACCTAACAATCACACTGACATGCACAAACACAAAACCACTAAAAATAACTCAAAAATAAGAACGATCTAAGCTTACAGATATCAGAAGACATTTACATATGATTACCATATGCAAATTCAGCAAATAAATAGTGGTAGCAATAGTGTAGTATTAATACAGTAATAAAAAGTTAGTCAATGCTAAACGAAGTTAGATGCTGAAAAAGAGATACGGTGACTAGAGCCAATATATAAGGCTAGTCTAGTCTTTCGTAACCAGGATATAAGACACCAGTAAAAGACGTAGTCAAAAAGAGAGAGAGAGAAACTACGCAGTTATTTTAAAGTCTGACAGCTAACTAATGACTTATAGATTTATGTTTATACAAGACGCGTATAAAAGTATATGGATAACTGTGTAAGTTACAGCAAAACAAACCCAGCCGCGGTTGAATAGATAGCACGAGGGCTGCCGATTGCGGCTTAAATTCCCTCAGGTCGTTAGTCTTATTTTCCTTTTGTATTCTATTCTAAGTTGGAGTGCTTTTATCACATCAAATAATACATCTGGATGTTTAGAAGATGCATTTTATCAGCGTTTTTGATACACGGGTGAAATATCTGTGTTGCTGCGCATTTGCCATATAATAAGCGGAAACACCTCGCGGTAGTTCTTATCTTCACCCGAGATATATGCAGACATAATATTGCTTTGCTAATAGAATAAAGTACTATTTACGCTTCATACGGAAAGTTTTCTTATTATGAAAAACAAACCAATCAGGTTATCTCTAATAGAAAAGAAGAAGATAACTTCTAATTGAAATAGGTTTTATTGAATCAAAATGGTTAGTATGCCCTGACATATCATTTTCTGTTACGGATGCTTCAAAGATGTCTGAAGATCAACCTAATGTTGATTTGATTGGAACGTTGAATGCTGAGTTCGACTCTCAGTGGGGACACAATAACTCACTAAGAGATGAAGGTTATTCCAGATGATGAATCCCCAATATGGTGAAACACCCATCTTGGATTCTAATGCGAGCCAGCATTAACCAAATAAACAGTATATTGATTACAGTTATAAGTCAGAGTATGATTGTGGAGATTAATCTGACTGCTCAATGAGTTATTTTTTTTTTTGAATTTTCGGTGAATGTTTTCGTCTATGAATAACAGCTTAGTTGTATTAAGAGAGTAACCTTCAACACGAAATGTCTTCAACCGAAGCGATTTTCGATGTCTTACCGAGGTAGTCGATGAATATAACCTGTTATTAAACAGTTATGTTACCAGTGACCTGTTAGGTTGAGGTTAATGATGCTGGTTTCCTTTTATTCTTACCTAATTCATGCTATAATATGACCTCAGATGATCAGGATTTTACACTAGAACAGCGAAAAATAAATCTGAAAATTAGTCAATTGATAATTATGATAGACAAATGACTGATCTCATAGTCACCTTTATTATACTTTCAAATCAGTTGAGAAAAAGCGATGAGGATCAGGGGATAGTGAATAATCTTTTCGTAGGAAATAAAATCACGTCTGTGCAGATAGTGGAAAAAAGGTCAACACTAAACAACTAACTAAAACTCCTAAGTGTTCTTTATTATTGGTCAAACGAAAATTGTTTTGAAAAGCACATATCCTTCGGTTGAACTGATAAAATAAGAAACTTAAGGAAGAATGTTGGGAAGAGAGTATTTTTTTTCCATAATTTCCTCTTCTGGTTCTACATATATATATATATATATATATATATATATATATATATATGCACAGAATATTCTAAAATAGTCGTCATTAACAACATTGTCTTTTTAAATACTGTCAGTTTGTTAAGTAAGATCAATGGAATTACAGTTCAAGAAAGACGCTTAAGTTATAATAAGTAAAAAAAAATGTAATAGTAAATAGAATATCAAATTAAATTGAGGCAATTTCCACGACAAACTGAGGATCATTAGAACCTAGATGGCCAAGGTAAAGACCAACTTCTTTCGGATGCTTAAATTAGGTTTCTTAATGTAGATCTTAACAGCCTTAGCAATATGTAGTAGAAGAACTCTTAAGGTAAAGTTAAGATTGGCTGGTACGCGGTAGATGACCTTGAGATGTCTGAAAGCACTAGAAACAGTATTACGAAGAGATGTTAATAGTGAGATTGTATAAGAATGTAAGGGAAGAAATTTCAAAATGACTATTAAGCCAGCTAAGTTATGCAGTTTATTCACCATCCAACCAATACTTAGTTCAAAAACCAAGGAAAAACTATCTAATTCCACCCGTACCATGGGTATCAGCAGCTACTTACATTAATTGTCCAACTAGACAAGTTCATCGTTGAATTTCTGAACACCACCAATTTTGATTAGACAAAAGACCAAATGTGTGGCAATATGTGACTGAATACTAGTTCATATCGTTGATATACATGACAGGAAGTCTGTATTAATAGAGGTTTACTCATTATGTAATAACCTACAGCTACAAAGTTAACTGACCTTGAATTCCATAATTATTTTCACGCGATCCCAACACCTCAGAATTAATACCTCCTGTTGACTAACGATATGTTGTCAACTCCTACCAATTACAGGACTTCATCTTGAGCGGTTAGAGAACCACTGAAAAACCTGGGAGTACTGGAAAGCTGTTTCGTCCAAGTTTGGGACTCTTCGTCAGTACACACCCGTCGGGGTTAGAACTCGGGACCTTCTGGTTACAGGGCAAGCTTGTTGACAAATTCACTGTTTTGGTAATTTTTAATCAGTTATTTTCCCGGGTCAGGATAAAAGTAGTCACGACGTGTTTTAGCACGCTGCGTAGCAAACACTACTGGTTTGCAAAAATTCAACAAAACATATTTGAGACAGCTAAACAGTAACATCTGATATGATTACAGCATTCCACTATGCACGCGCCGGGACCTCGAGTGCAACCCGAATGAGAAATGATGAATGAGGTCTCCGTGGATGACATACAGGAGATTGTGCGATGAAGAGACTATAGGTAATCGTGGGGCTGGCTGAAGAGGATGACAAAGAATAGGACAAAGTGGGTGTGTGTTGTTGAAGCCGTAGGTTCCACTCGGAACGCAGAAGAGCAATAGTAATAACTAAGCACATTCTACAGAATCTCATAAGACCGACCAACTGAGGAGATTTAAGTCATAATGGATGATCTTCATTTCATTCATTCAGGTAGGTGGAGACAAAAGGGGAGTAAATTTGTCGGGTTTTAACTTATATATTCACAATCGGTGAACTCTTAACAGACCTTAAAATGTATTATTCTTATTGAAAACAATACGATTAGTATATTTTTGATGTAAAACTATATATATATATATATATATATATATATATATATATAGAGAGAGAGAGAGAGAGAGAGAGAGAAGGAGAAGTTAATTAGGTACTAAATGAAAAGAAGCGAATGCATATTTCTTCGCTCAGTTTGTTATTGTTTTTTTTTTCTAAACGCGTAAATAAGGATTTTGTAAATTAGTAGAGGAAATGCTTCGACTAATGGACGTTCTTTCTTGCTT